CAAGGTAAGTGAAAACCAAATTTGATCATGTTTTATTTACAGATAGGAATTATTGTTTATATATATATTAATGATGTCTTGGAACAGTAATAAGTGTAATGTAGACAGTAAATCTATGCTAGCTACAACTTTAGGTTCCTGTAGGAAATAGCATCTTGTAATTTATAAGTAGCATTCTAAGTACACCAGATATTAAAGGGAACAAGATATATAGATACCGGGTCAAAAAATTACAGGCCAGAGGTAAATCTGTATGGTAGAGGTAAGGATACTATGCTTTTTCTTCAACAAATTAATTCACAATCAGCATATGTTGACTGTATGTGAATTTTATATTCTTGATGAAAAATGAAATTGAATTAACCCAATAGTCATGGAGGGCTTGAAATTATGCAAGTGCTGTGATAGACCAAGTCACTGATGGCCCCACATAATGAAAAACTATTCAATAGACTCATAAGAGGGAGTATGTCTTTCTCTGATAGTAGTTACATTATTTTTTGGTGTCACTATTAGATTACAGGCACATAAAGTTAAAAGAAACCCATTTTTTCATGTTGTTCACAAAATACAGCTACAAGTTATTAGGTATTGCATTTGATGACCACTTGCCAGCTTTTGAGACTGCAGTTAATAGGTTGAATGACTTGTATTATTATTATGGATAGAAAATAGTATAAAGTAAATTATGATGAGATGCTAGTAAAGAAATAATGTCATGTGACAAAAAATCTTTTACAGTTTAAGAAGGAACACAAAATGGTTATCTCTTCCAGGTGTACAACTTTGCCATTCGATCAACTTTGTTGAGACACAGAGGTCCTAAAACACTGTTGGTGATGAATGGAGAAGCTGCAATGATGTTTATTAAACTGACATAGAGGAAAGTGACCTTTTATCCGCCCTTATGCTAGAACGCAGCTCATTGCTTCATCAATGCCAGAAGACCTCTCCCAAGAAAGTATGCATTCCACATGACTCTGGGGCATCGGTTTGGTAAAGCAGGGGCAACGGTCTCACTCGTTACGAGCATATAAACAGGCTTTTTCAGGTTCGTTATTTTTTGTTTTTGTTTTATCAGCAAAGTTCAGTAGATTATTTTTTCAGATTTATACTTGGATTTATTTATGTATTTGACTTATGCTTTATTTTGACTTGTTAACGCATTGGATCCCTTTGTGTCACGGAAATCACGGTGCTGAAAATATTGGCAGTGACTTACAGAAGTAGCCAACATACCTGGGAGTGTTGGTGCGTAGGCAGGCGTGCGTGAACACCATGAGCATTGACAAAAATTTGTGCCTCCCTTGTGCAAAAAAATTTTTGTGTAAATTTTTTTAGCTTTTTGCCTTTTTTTGAATATCCATATTTGTCTTTTGAAATGCTTTATTCAGATGGTAATAGCTTCTTTTCCGTGCACAGACTCCATATCATCAGTGCAAGAAAAAAAATAAAAATAAAACATTTGGTTATTTGTGTGATGTATTATATTATTTCGCAATTTTCAATTTTGTGTAAAACAACCTGTGCCGCCAGTCTCAGCGGCCATGAATATGGTGTGCAGCATAGAAATGGTGTCCTCCTTGGAGCCAGCATTCTTCCAGTTATGGCTTACACCCATTACATTCCACATTCGTTTATTGATGGGAATAATGTTAAAAGCCCCCTTTTAAGTGCCAAATGAGTCAAATCACACTCCAAGAGGTTTGTGCACTCATAGCAAGTCTTTTCCATCACCCTGGCCTTCGCTCATGACAGCAAGTTTGTGTCACCCGGCCCATGGCCAGATGACCTGGCTCTCAACTCAGATTTTTCCATGACAGGACTGTAACATCATCCGGATCTTAGGGGTTAAAAACAAAATATTGGCTGAATGAAATAGATGATATGGCAATAGTTTGGTGTTTTACTGTTCATAACTCATCCATCTTCCTCAGCCTTTATTTACTGAAGTATAAAAAAATGAGTTTTAGCCAGCTTTGGAAACTTGCCTAACTGCATGAAGATACAGTTCACTCCCTTTTTTACATCAGTAAAAATTACATTTTTATCAGGCCAAACACCCTCTGTTGTGTATATCTTCATGTGTGTCTGGAATGAATTAGATAGATATAGGTATATATAACTACTGGATTTCACTCAATATCTCTAAGATACAAGAGTGGAAAAGCATTTAACTACTATTTCATCCCACAGATCTATGCAACTCGTGGCTGGGTACTCGCTGAAGACCACATTCACTTCACCTTGGGCAAACAAGCCCACCATCTGAAGCAGCTGACAGAGGGACTGGCTGCATACAACAGCTTGGTGGACCAGCGAACCAAGCAGGCTGCTCCTAGTCAGCAATCCCCTACTCAACAGATGACCTATATCCGAGAGTTCATAAACACATACCACCAGTACATCCAGCAGGAATGGGACTCAGCATCAGGGCTGCCTTGTCTTCCACTACCTCTGATAGATTCCCAAGCGACAACCATCCTATTGGGGTCCCCTCAAGAGGCACCTACAAGCCCTGGCTGGACTGCAGCCTCACATGTATCTCTGGACAGTGGGGCCATTGCTAATGATAGATGGTTTGCCCTGGAGAGGGAGCTGGTTACAGAGACTCAGGGCACACTACCCATTGTATTTAGGCCAAATTTACAATTGCTTAATAAGGATACTCCAAATACACAGAGTCCCATGGTTCCTGTAAATGAGCCTGTTCTAGTTGAACTGATCATGAGCAATCCTCTGGCAGTAAGTCTGATGATTACTGATGTTCAGTTAGTGTTCACTTTCAAAGCATCTGGTGATCAGGAAATGGCTAGTGATCCTCAAGTCAAACATTCAATGTTTAAGGGATTCAATCTCCCTGCTGGTGCTCAAGAAAAAGTAAGATTAGAGCTGTATCCTGCATGCACTGGCCAGATCCTTATCACTGGGGTTCAGTACAAACTCTCCCTGACCCCTGACCTAGTTGCAGCACCTCCTCCAGGATCAACAGCAGTGCCTGTTGTCATTGAAGGCCAGCAAGCCATCGAGGTCAAGGGACCCCGGCTCAATAGCACAGCAGCTGAGAAGTGCAATGTTGTTTATGCCAGTGATAAAAGACTAGAGATAACTGTGGTTCCTCCACTGGCAAGGCTTAGTGTGATATTTAATAATTTGCCACATATTCTCAGTTGTGGTGAGCTTCATAGTGCCGATGTAGCGATAACGAATACAGGACCTTGTGCGATATCGAAACTTTTACTAGCCATTTCAGACCCTAACCACATTTACCTCTCAACCACGGAATCAGCATTAGAGGACAAGCATGTACTCACCCTGAATGAGTCTGAGAGTGTTGAAAGCAGAGTCACCAAACGTGTTCAGCCAGTTACCCTGCAAGATGGAGTGCTCAAACCCGGTGACACCATACGAGGAAAGCTCTGGCTTCATGCACCTTCATTGCCAGGTGCATTTGATGTAGAATTGCTCTTCTACCTAGAAACTCAGAACACAACAGGAAAGGGAAGGTGCGTGGTGTCATATGGTTTTCATATTAAGGTGTATATAGAAGGTAACAATTTTTTCTCTTTTTGCTTGAATAAGAAAGCTGGTGGATGCTTGAAAGCTTTGGTTCAGGTTTGTGATTCAACATTATATGTTTAGAGTAAATGGCTGTGTGGAAAGGAAAATGAATGTTATAAAAATGGGTTAAGTACTTAGATGGATAATGGAGATTGATCAATTCATTACTATTTCAGCATTTCATTGAAAAAATATTAGAAGTACATGTTAGAAAATAGTGTAATACAAAAATATTTGTTTACTATTTTTTCTTATGCTGTCAGTTGATACAATGCTGTTTCCTATTAATGTTTAATTTTTATTTTTTTTCACATTTTGCAATATATTTGTCCATGTTTCAGGTACCGCTTGTTGAGACATTTTACCAGCGTTTATGTGGAGAGAAGTCTTAGTCTAAAGGTATCATCATTAATAAGCCAGTCATTGAACAAATCAATTAGCAACCAAAACAGTGAAGAAACTAAGAACACACATACTGCCAATGTCGTTGTTGAGGCTGTGAATAACTCAGAGGTTAGTTCAGTACCTTGTTATATTTGTCAAAATTGCAGAAGTTTGTCTTTTTTTTTAAATTTATTATTATTATTATTTTTTTTAATTTGTGACTTATTTATGAAATATAGATTATGGTATTTATATGTATATTCTTTTTAATATTCAGATCCCATAGTCTCATTTAAAACATTAGATACAAGTTGCAAGAAATTGTATATCAGTAAATTTGTATTTATCTAAACATGCAGATTACAATAGTGAAATGTACATTTTCTCCTCTTTTTTATTTTGTTTTCAAGGTTGACAGTGCTTGTGGAACTTACACCGTCATGGGTGTCAGTAGTAACAGCAAGAAGTGGGCAATCATACCCCATTCTTCATTACCAGGTGGGTGTGCACTTAGTTTGCAGAGGAATGAATTAATGCATTGGTGATGCTTAAATCTTTGCAAGCAATAGAGAAACAAAGTAAAAAACAGAAAGATTAAGTAAGAGAGAAATGGAGACAGGCACACAACATAAATGATAGTCTCAAAAGAATGTGTGAGCATGAATCTCTGAAACAGGATTGAAAATAACAAGGGCTTTACTTCATTACCCACTAGCACTGGAGACATGCTCTGCCCACTGTGGTTTTGTTTTGTAATTTTCTTTTACATGTTGATGGATCCAGAAATTGTTTAGTTACTTAGGAGTTATTTACCTCACCTGATTTCTCCATTCCTGTAATATTGTGGTTAAAGTCTTATCTTATCTAATACTATTAATAATTAATTATTATTATTCATCCTCTGGACATTTTGGACATTATAGATATTATAATGTTATGTACAACATTAATAGCCATAAAAAATAAAGAATAAAAATCTTTTAAAAGTCAAGGAAAAGGGTAAACAGATGGAAATCAGGTAGGACTTGTAATTGACTCCTTGGTAACCAAGCACT